TAATTATTGATTTGTGCTTTTAATTAATTCAAATAATATTTAAAGTTATATTTCAGGAAACCAATCTTTCTGACTAAATTGTTTTAAAGGCTCAATATACAGATGTTTTCTATAGTAGTTAATAATAAATGTTTTATTGTTGATTAAAGTGATTTTCATTTGTATCTGGAAAAAAATATTATATTGTGCTGAAAATTTAACCTGAACTTCAGATAAGAACATTCTTCTTCCTTGGCAATGAGTTAACACAATTTTTCATATTTAAGAGATATTACTTAACAACAAAATAAAATTAATGGTTTTTGAAGAAATGCCTTTCATACAAGTAACCTTATCTAAGGACATATTTAGTTAGTTATTTTATTTATTTATTAAATGTTTATACAACCCATAATACCAGGTGACTTTGGATGACAGAGTCTATTTAAAGGTAGATACTGAATCCATGCGATCAATAGCAAGAAAATAGTAACCTTATGCTTACAGTAGGAGACTAAGATATATGTCAGTCTGAAACTGAACTCATACCCGATGTACTTCTTCAGCATCCAGTTTTGGTCTCCATGATGCAAAAATGATGTTGACACTCTAGAAGGAGTGCAGAGAAGAGCAACAAAGATGATTAGCGAATTGGAGGCTAATATATCAAGAATAGTTGCTGGAAATGGGTATGTCTACTTTAATGAAAAGAAGGAGCAGGGGAGAAATGATAGTAGGGTTCCAATACCTCAGGGGCTGCCCCAAAAAAGAGGGAGTCAAGCTATTCTCTAAAGCACCTGAATGATGGGCAAGAAGCAATGGATGGAAACTAATCAAGGAGAGAAGCAACCTAGAACTAAGGAGGAATTTCCTGACAGTTTGAACAAGTAATCAGTGGAATGATTTGCCTCCAGAAGTTGTAAATGCTCCAACACTGGAAGTTTTTAAGGTTTTAAGAACTGCTATACAGTTTCCTGCCTGAGCAGAGGATTGAACTGGAAGACCTCCAAAGTTCTTCCAACTCTGTTATTCTGTAGTAATCAACAGCAAGCCATCAATAGTTTGATTTTCAAATATTCTGGACTACAGCTCCCATATTTTTTTAATAATTGGCAATGCTAGCTAAGGTTGATGGGAGTCGGAACAAAACATCTAGAGAACATTTTGTTTGTCATGTTCAGTAATATCTCATATAAATGTGGAAAGTGACAAGTCAGCTTCTAGTCCTATGTAAATTTGCATTAATAACATATTGCTTAATACAAAGCATTTTTAAGTAGCTACTTCGTAACACATTTGAAATGATAATCTTTGAAATTCCTCCTATACAGCAATGTTAAACTGGATTGAAAAGATGCTGCAGTCGTTTCTTATAAATGTGTTCTTGCCATTTTGATGCTGTAAATTCATCCATTTATCTTTATCATCATAGAGCGCTTATTCAATAGCATTCTGTAGAAGACAGACTCAATAACATTCTATAGAGGCAGATATATAGATATGATTATCTGAAGTGAGAGGGCTAAGGCTTGTTTTGTTTCTATTTTCTGCATATCTACAGATAAACAACAAAACCAACGTAGTAACCAGCCCTAAAGAAAATATTCCCACCCCAGCACTGGTATACCTGGCTTTATCCTTAACTTGTTTTTGAGTTCCATTTCCATCTTTTTTCCTCACTCTCTTTCATTTCTA